AGAGTCTACTATGAAATAATATGAAAAATTAGGGTTCTATACTAAAATTTTCCATTATTTAATGTCTTATTCATTTATCAAAATACACCTAAAATATCAAAGGGTGTTTGGAAAATCAAATTACTAAAATTGGGTTCAAGAGGAACAAGGTTAGAGAACTAGGTGATGCTGAGTCAGATTGGCCATATTATACGAAGCATAATTCTTTTTTACTTCTTTTTCCTTTTTTGAAAAAAAGAGTCCCCAATTTTTCCATTTTTTTCATTTTTTTCCTGTTGTTTCTCCTTTTTTTTTTTTTTTCCGACTTTTCTGTCAAAATCATTGTTTTTTTAACTCTTTTTTGGACATGTACGATAGTTCTTCAATCTAACGACAAAATCAGTGTACCAGGACTCAGCCATCGAGTTTCACCTTATGTTTACAATTCGAGGATATTAAAAATAAATTTTTTTTTTTCTAAAATCATAAAAATGTGTGATTGATTTATCATTTCTGTTTTCTGTATGATTTATATACTTTTGGCAAAGATTGGTGATTAATATTTTCCATAAATATCTATTTTTATATTTTACCTTTTTTTGGATATTTTTTTTAAAAATGCCTCAAATTATAAATCTGTTGTTTCCTAATCTATTATTTCAATTCTTTTTTAAGCTTATTTGGGCTCTTTAGGTTGTTTTTATATTTTATTTTTCTTTCAATACATTTTCCTTATCTATTTGAATTTTTTTTTTTTTCGTTTTTTTTTCAATTTGTTGAGGGCTTTTCAGCCATATGCATGATTTGGCTGAGTCTGAGTTACTCGGCTCGGCCAAGGGCTGAGTACTTTAACCAGGTCGATTTTCTATATTCCGGTCAGAATTGAATAGATCAAGAGCGGAAAGCTCCAAGTATTTTTGAAATTTTGAGCTTGGATATGCGGATTCCTCTGCTCTCATCCATGATTTCTTTGAGGACCTTATCTCTTGATGTTCATCCACCAAAGCTATTTCCTGATCTAAAGCATAATTTTTTTTTTTTTTTTTTATAATTTTTTTTTTATGGTTCGAGATTTCTAAAAAGCCTTGGACTCTCAAAAATGATTATATGTTTTATATAATTACTGGTGGATCTAGTTGGGAATTTTCGCGAATAAAGCATTATGCACGATTTAGAAAAAAAAAATTGATTTTTTTCATTGCTGATTTTATAGGTTCCCATTTTCCATGTAGTTTTTATGGTTTTTGCACTATTTTTCTTGGATTTCTTTGGGTTTTCTCAATTCCATTTTAAATCCTTTTTCTAAATAAACATCAGATTAATTTCAAGAGATCCAAATTTATTTTTAAATAAAGAAGAAACCAGTAATTTAATTCTGTTTTGGTTTAATTTTTTAGTTTTTCTTTGTATATGAAATTATTCTTTTACATGAGAACTACACGTGAGAATCGGTCCGACTCTAACAAGGTTCTCGATGTAGACCAATCCACCAGGCGATCGGTTTGGCTAGCAAATCTGTGTTTTAAAGCACTGACTCTGACTCATGTCTCCTTCTCTCTATCCTTTTTACAAATGCTATAAACTTTTATTAAAGCTATCCTTCAAGAGCATCAGATTACAAAGATCTGTCTCTCTAACCTTGTCTATCTACATTGTCGTATGGTACCAACTTCTAACCTTACGCCTTGCAACAGGAGTCTCACCCTAAACCTTACCGTTATGTTAAGAGTCCCTACTATGACTCAATAAAGACCGGAGTTGCGAGTTGGTCAAGTTTACTTATGTGAAAAGAAAGTATATATTACTTATTATTGTCTATCAGGTTCATATAGAAGGTATATATGTGATCAGTATATATGGTTAATGCTATCTTGTCAGGAAAATTTTTTTTTTTTTTTTCTTCTTTTTACCACTTTTTATTCTATTTTATTTTATTTTTTTTGGCAAAGATCACTTACAAGTAGTCTCATTACAATCAATCTTGCTTCAAAGAAAATAAAACTAATAAATCCAAGATCTTTAAAAAACTTTATGTCATTAAACCAATTTTCTTTAAACAAAAAAAAAATCCACGATTTTTATGCTTGGGAATATAAAGACAATATAATTAAATATGACAACAAACAAAAATAGACTCCTGGATATGACAAGAAACAAAAAGAGAGTCCTGAAGATTACCTCAAACCTTAGGTATTTTCTTAGTAACTTTGTTTGAAAGAGATGGATTCTCTGTTTGCTATACCTTAAAACCCTTAGTCATAAATCCAGAGACGAGAGAGAGAAGAACCTCATAGCTTACACTCTTAGCCCCTTTTTACAATGTGGGAGAGAGAGGGCTTTCATAAGAGAGCCATTTTTTACAATGTGGGAGGGAGAGAGAGGGCTTTCATAAGAGAGCCCTTTTTACAATGTGGAAGAGTTGACTTTCATATGAGAGAAACTTTCTTAAGAGGGAAATAGAAAAACTTTCTTTAAAAGAGAAGTAGAAAGACAAGGTGTAGAGATTTTGAGTAGAGACAATATCTTTTTATAAAATTTAAACAATATTAAGGTTTCTTAGGTTTTTTTTTGCTTCTTTTTTTGTGAGACTGAATATGAACCATTGATCTTCAGTGACTTGTGGGATGAGAGATTTGAGTCATTATTCTATAGATGGGTCATCCACATTATCGAATGTGCTAAAACTTTTGTCCCTTACTAATCATAATATTGTGTTTTATTCAACAAGCCTTATCAAGCTTTTTAAAAGATTCAATCAAAATCTTCTTTAACCACTTATCCCATAAAAAATAGGAAACCTATAAAAGTGGAGTGTGCCACCCCATGGGATAGGAAGCCCCAAAAATTGGGGCATGCCCATGTGGTGGGTTTTGTTGCCCCCACCAATTTAGGGCATGGTGTCCCATGTGCATAATGCCCCAATGCTATTTTTAAATATTTAAAAATCAATAAATTATTTTAGAACTAACTTGAATATTTAAAACATTAAAAATCAATATCTCCGTTTGTATAAATCCAAATTTTATAAATAAAATATCCAAAGATCTAGAAAAATTCAAATAGTAATTCTAAAATCATATCATCATAAAATAAATACAATTAAATTCATTAGATGAGATAAAGATCTATATGGTCTAGGAATAAATAATCTGAGGCATTCCACCTTCCACTGTGGACTACGGACCACACTTGCTTTATCAAACCGATCTAGTGTTTCTCATGCCTCACAATCTATGCAGGAGCTCATTAGTGGATCACCAAAGTCTTCCCGATGAGCCAAGGGGTCGCAATCCCAATCTGTGGATTTCAGGTTCTCCACTAGATACGAGCCAATGTCACATAGATCCAATGCGACCACAGCTTCTATGGCGCATAAAGGTATCTCTTACATATGCATACGCTTGGATCTATGTGACATTGGCTTATGTGACCCTTTTGTGTGATGGTGACCTTCAGAGACGAGGGCCAAAGCCTCATCCATGTACCATCATACGATTTATC